AGACAAAAGAGTAAAATGAAAAAAACAATGGGACTGCCAGACTGAGACTGAAACTGAAATTGAAACTAAAACAGTGGCCCGTTCTATGTTGTTAGCCAAGCAGACAAGCGGACATAAATCGAATTGACATTATGAGCCAGCTAAGAAACGTGGCCAACAACAGGGACAGCAACCAGTTAGTGGCAGCAACTGTGGAACGGAAGTTGTGTGCGCTCAACTGTTGAGATTTGAGCGTTCGCTTTTGGCATTGTCAGCCAAAGAATAATGGCCACATTATGCAGACAGCTGTCTTCCTTAGCTGTTGCTGCTGCTGCTGCTCATCCTCATCTCCATATCCATCTCCGTCTTCATCTCTAGCTCTTCAAGCTGCTGACTCACGGCGGCACGTTTGTGCGCAAAAATAAAAAACAAAAACCACAACAATTTGTTGCAGCTGAGAACTTTAATGGGTGCGTGGGCCAAGCCCACAAAATTGTTCACTACTCGTGAGTCTCGACTCGAGTGAATGAAGTTTGTGCACAAAAAAAACCCAATGTTTGAATTAGAAATATTGCTCTGCTATTGCTACGGCTATAAACTGAAACAGAGCAATAGCAGAATTAGAAATTTATATTGTGCTCTCGTTAATTGTAGCAGCAGCAGAATGAGTAAGAACGGAGCGAGTGCGTTGCAGTTAAATTGTACAGCTTGTTTTGCTCTTTATTGATAGCTATTGCTACGAACTTTAACAGAGCAAGAGCAGAACCAATAGCTGAAAACTGACAAGAACCAAAAAGTAACGTAACATTTTCAGTCGATAAAAAACACGCCATGCCCAATTCAAGTTAAAAGCGATCAGAATACAAAGTGGTTTCTTCTTCAAATATAGTTGCTGCATATGAATATTCAACATTAAGTACATATCTGTTTTTGTTTTGCTGAGTGTACTCAAATGTCAGCTGATTTTGGGTCTGATGCGAACGGCCGTTTCAGGGTTAAACCACGGAGCAGGAAGTAATTGCCAACTGGCTGTAATCAACTCTCCACACCCAAGACTTGCAGCGTGAGTCTGTCCGGCTCAGCGTTGTTGGCTTTTGGCCAGTTTGGAAATGCGCAATTTTAGCATTATTCTAATTGGTCAGTGAACCAGTTTCTGGCTGCACTTAATCAGCTCTGACTCACTGCCACAACACTCTGTGTGTGTGTATGTGTGTCTGTTGTGTGTGTCTTTATCTGTTTTCTTGCCTGTCGCTGAGCCAAACTTGTTTTGCTTTGGCCAGATTGCGCAAGGTCGTCTGGTCAGGACAGGTGCTCAGATATTATTAACTCAATTGCAAGGCGCAGAGGCAGCAGCGCCAACAGCCGGAGAAGGAAAAATATAATAACCAAAAGGTCTACTGTTTAAGACCTTTTGTTTAAAAGCCAAATGGTTGCCAAACAGTTATGACTTTTTTGCCTTTTAAATGCCGTTAAGTCACACACACAGACAAAACTGTAGCTCGCGCGTGTCGCCAACTTTGCAGCGGTTTTCTTTTTCCATATTTTTTTCTTTTCATATACATATTTTGTATTATTTTTATTTATAGTCAGCTCACCTTGAGCTGAATTTCGGTCAAGCCAAGAGGCAGTCAGCATTTAATTAAATACAAGCTGCTAAACTAAACGAACAAAATTTCAATAAATTTCATTTCAAACACAAAACAAAAAAAGAAAAAAATATGCAGTTAAATGCAGCGCCAAAACGAAAGACTTAAGCGACAAACTCGCAGATTGCCAAGTCGGCAGCGGCAACGGAGCATGATTAATGCAGCTTTTGCGCAATGTTGAGTGGCATGTTGAAAATATTAAAAGAGCGCGCACAACAAACACAATTGTTCACATACATATTTATATATATACATATATATATTTATATATATATATATAAAGATACAGCTAAAATGCCAACTGAGCAAAATGAATGCAAATAAATTGCAATTTCTGCGCTTTCTTGCGTGCGAGCAGTGAAAACGATGCCAGACACTGACAACTGGCAACTGGTAACAAGAGCACAGCTCAGCTCAGATCAAAGATCACATAATGTATTTGAGAAATGTGAGACTTGCAATTGTGGGTTTTGAGTAACACTTCAACACTCGAATTTTCGGATTTCGCTTTTTCAACTCAAGTTGCGCATTTAGAGAGTTATTTTCCCATTGTGTTATGTGTGTTGTGTCAAGTGGGGCACATATATGAAAGCAACAAATCAACAACCACATTGTATACCCTTGCCTTGAAGGATATATATATCCAACGTATATTTCGGTTTGCTGTATCTCAAATCGGTCAATTTTGTTAAATATATCATGTCAACAATTAGTCAAAACATGAGATTTTCCATTCTTTTTTTTTATTTTTTTGTTAATGACATAATATAAAACCGGCATTTGAAGGTGACGTTAAGTGAACAACTTTTAGTTTTACGAAACCATTAAGGTATTCCTATACTTAATCACATAAATAGACAAGCAACAGCATTTAAATAATGCAATAACAGCTCACAAAACTCGATTCAATCAAAAAAGATCTGTCAGAGATTGTCTAGATTCCGCCACATGATCACCAAACTATGAAAATGAATTTCATATATCGAAAAGGGATCTACTCACAAAGAATATCTAATAAGACGAAATAATAAGCTACAAAATTAATAATGATTCTAGCAGGAATCCTTTATCACATGGGAACAATCCTTTCGATTTGATTTAATTTAGAAAGTAACTTTAATAAGCAAATAAGGAGCAGGGTATCTAAGCGTCAGCTAGACAGCTTTTCTCTCCTCCTTTTTTTTTTTGATTGGCTTTGGCAACAAATCACAATAATTTTATCTAATTTTGAGTTTTTCTTTCTTTGATTTTTGCGCAATTTGGGAAAATAGGCAATCTGGCCAGAGGAATGCGGTTAACTTGTTTCGCATTGTGTTTGCCTCTCACCCCGTCTCTTTATCCATCTATCTATCTATCTATCTGTCTATTACTTATTGACTTTTATTTAATGCTGTCGTAACCGAGCCAACTGTAATCGACAAACCCACTAACAAAAAAAAACAAAAATAAAGTGAGGCTTTCGCACCACAGAAACCAACCTCGACTTGGCAATCACTAATGATATTTACTTGGAGAGGGGGAGATGGGGGATGTTGTCCAGACAATTGCCCCAAAATGGACAATAATCGTTTACGTAAGCAGAATGCAATCACAGATCGAGAGCGAGCGACAGAGGTGAAGAGGGGAGAGAGAGAGAGAGAGAGAGAGAGAGAGAGAGAGAGAGGGAAGTGGAGACTCTAAGATTATGCTCGCAATTTGAGTGATGATTTGCTAAAATTAAATTTCGAGTTTGATTTCATTTTGTGGGTTCTTTGGCTTTTCGCTTTCGCACAAAGGAAAATGAAAGGCATTTTAGACATGTTTTCACTTGGGTTCATTTCCGCGCCACATCGAACTGCCGCACAACAAAAAAAATCACCAAAAAACCAGTTGGTTCAGTTAAGACCAAGACGCCGGTCCACGCAATAAGGAACATTTTTTTTTATTGCTGAGCCGAAAGATTGTTTTGATTTGTTTTTAGCTTTTAAGATTTATAATTTATGCTTGAAATTTGGCACGGGCAGAGCTAAGCAATTTTTAAATGAATACTGATTTGAGATAACTAAGTCTATAAACCAGTTTCACTTTTTCGACTGCACATTGCGATCGATCGGAGAGCGAGATCCAAAAAAAAACTAAAAACATTCCAAATTTTCATATCCCGTGCAATTTATGGGCTTGTCGGGGTGTTTATGGCACCAACGAGGCTATAAATTATCTGAGTTAGCCTTAGTTTTATTTTTGCGACCTTGATGTGTGCAACAAGCAATTGGCTCCTTTCGGCCACTGGGCGTAACCGTTAACAGCTCTAACTGTAAGTTCGGCTAGATCGCTTAGATCATTTATCAAGCGAGGCACGTTTGTGCCAATTTTGGCCATTTCTTAACTGTCTAACTGTCTGTGAATGGCATCTTGGCCATTAACCACGAGTTGTGTAACGTGTTCTTAATGACGACTTGCCAATGCTTTCGCCCCTGAATACCAAACAGCTACCGTCTAAAAATACATATGTATATAACATGGAGGAAGACGTTATACTGCTGATTTGCCTAACATAATGAGCAATATATCTTCAACAGCATTGACTTGAACACATTTATATTTTACAACAGTATAAGTCGTCATAATATTATCGTAATGTCTTCTGCCATTGTGTTTGTGAATCACAAATTTGTTCCAAATATTACGTTTGCAATTTGAAATTAATATTTGGACAGCGTGGGCTTATAAGTGTTAATAGTATTCAAAGTCAAGACAGTCACTCGATTTGACATTGTCATTGTTAGTAGTGCTGTTGTAGTTGCTACTGGGTTTACTAATTGTGAAGATGTCACCGATGTCGCATTGCCTCAGATGCGACACAAAAGAAATAACAAACTAACAGACAATTAACACACATATATGCATAATAAAGAGCACTCAATAATTTTAATTAGTTGTTGAAACAAGCAACTTTCCCCCGTTTAGCTCTGCTTTTGTTGCCCATTGTTTACCTCTGGGTCTGGTTAACTGGGTCAATGTCAAGAGCTGGACAACATTCGGCAACGTTGACTCGCTATATTGTTTTTGGTGGGCGCCACCACTTCGGTGTGAACAAACTGAAACGGGAGAGGGGAGCTGAGGGAGTTGAGGAGTGGAGAGTGGCGCTCCGAAGGGCCTTAATGCGCATGAAATGTGATGGACGAACATGCTCCGACCTTCTCACGACTTAAATCCACTTTTTGACAAGCAAGTGCCACGTAATTTGTGGCAACTTGACGTGCCGTGCCCCGCCCCCACATTAATCATTTTATCTCGCGCACATCATCAAAATACAACCGTACAACCAATAAATACATAACTCTGATTAATTGCCCTAAACACTTTCTGTGTATGTTTTCATCTTATCTTCCACAGTTGCCGCCGCGATTGCTGCGAATTGCTTTTGTAATATGTCTGCTGATTGTTTTGCTCTCACCCTCCACAGACAGCGCACAGAGTAAGTACTCCAAAACTCGAAACTCGAAACTCGAAACTCGAAAATTCAATTATTTCAATGTTTTAAGATAAGCTTCTAACCCACAAAAATTATATGTGGAATTTTCCAATGCCATAACTTTGACAATACTGAACTGATTTTCAAAAGCAAGGGCGTTTCGATCATGGTTCGACCTCTAGATTAATACTACATCTCAAACACGATTTGTGATTCAAATATAAAGATTAATACTACATCTCAAACACGATTTGTAATTCAAATATTCCATATAACAAAAATCACATTTAGTAATGCGTTAAGATATCTCTTGGACATAATTTACATGCAGCAAGGGCATATTGGTCATGATGCTTTTGGCCTCTAGATTATTACAAACAGGATTCTTAAACAGAAAAAAAAAAGATAATTTCAGGGGACACCCGGGTTTGAACCGGGGACCTCTCGATCTGCAGTCGAATGCTCTACCACTGAGCTATATCCCCACTTATATAAGGAGCCAGAAATCACTAAAGAACAGCGACTCAAATCTTTGCACAGTTTGCAGTCTCTGCTTGTGTGGGTGTCTGTCGACGCCACTCCAAAACTCGAAGAATATCAGTATCTCTGCGGAGGCGGAAGTTGATAAACTGTTGTTATTATTGCTGCTTTTGCTGTTGCTGTTGCTTTTGCGCTGTGGCCTGGCCAGATTATCACGTAACCAGCAGCAACACATTTCCTAAATGACTGTGCATTATGGACTGTTTTGTATCTTTTTAAATCAAGGCAAATTGAGTTGAGTTATGCAAACAAACGAAAATTGACTTGAGACTAATCAAGCAAATTGTTTTTTGTTGCTGCTTACGAAAGCAGTATTTTAACTGATACACTTATTAAAATGCGACTAAAAGCAAAGCTATCAACAGAAATAGTCGAAATATTTTTTTAAAATAATGAAAAAAAAATTAATAAAAAGGTTTACCTAGGGGACACCCGGGTTTGAACCGGGGACCTCTCGATCTGCAGTCGAATGCTCTACCACTGAGCTATATCCCCTGCGAACGCACGCTGATTAAACATCAACTTTAACGAATGCGCTGCATTCAGCATGCGAAAAGTGGTTGTTTATTCTTGTGCAGATTTATTTCACACTTCAATGATGTAATACTTCAACACAAGATTATTAACTGTAAAGAGTTAAAAAAATTAAAAAAAGAGAACAACTTAAGGCTGCTGTGTATATTTACGCAGGCTTTGTTAAAAGGTTATAATTTTACATTCCTTATCCCCTTCTCTCTTAGCAACTTTCGCATTACCCTTCTCCTTGAAATAAATTGGAATATTGACATCAAAAAGGTTTACCTAGGGGACACCCGGGTTTGAACCGGGGACCTCTCGATCTGCAGTCGAATGCTCTACCACTGAGCTATATCCCCATTATGTGATCTCCACCACATGGAGCTACAGTCGCCAAGCAACACCAATTTAATGCTCCTAAATATAAATAGACTAAAAACAGATAGCAATATGAGTAATTTACTTCAACAGAAAATAATATTCCTTATTCTAAAAAAAGCATTGTGTACAAAAAAGTTTACCTAGGGGACACCCGGGTTTGAACCGGGGACCTCTCGATCTGCAGTCGAATGCTCTACCACTGAGCTATATCCCCAGATACAACTGCGACGACTTAACCAGCACTAGAACAGCGCAACAGTCAAGCTAAAAATAGACACAAAGCGCCCCCAAGAGTTCATAAATAAATGTGGAGGCTTGCGCAGTGCGAGGCAACTAGAAGAAATATTCACTCCTCGACTGGTTTACAAAAACAAAAAACAAAATGCATGCTGCTTGTGGCTGGTTAATTCTTTATTGTTATTTCAGCTGTTGACAATTTTGCTTATATATGAACATCACGTTAAAGAGGTATAAGCGCTGCTCATTTAATTGCTCAAGTATTTAGCATAAGACAGCGTCATTAATGAATACATTTTATCATCAAGCATCTTCATTAAAACGCTTAAGCATAAATTCAAGCCAAGACTTAGTGTGTTTGTCAAATGACCTGGAATATAATCAAAGCTAATTGGTCAGAAGACAGCTCAAGCTGAAGATGGCAACGGGTACATTAAATGTAAATCAACTTGATTCATAACACTTACTCAGTCAATTGTCAATTGATTTGTGGTAATCGCAGTTGCCTGTCAAAAGTGATTGATCGATGAACAATCTTTATGATGCTGATCTTGAGAATTGATTGAAGTTGATGATGGCTCAAATTATGTTCAGCTGTCAGCTGCAAGTTAAGCTTCTTTATTGCCCAGCATATAAATTGACTGTTTAATAATTACCACTAACAATTAGAAACTGATTATAAATATGAATCCCATTTATTTGTTTTTGCAGCCAAGACGCGTCGACGCTTGCGCCGCCCGACGACAACTGTTAGCTCCAAGAAGGTCACCGAGGAGACGCCTGTGGCCCAGAAGCGCATCGATCAGGAGCCAGCCTCGACGACCAGCGTCAGCAGAAGGACACGTCTGCGCTCCAAGTCTAAGCTGCGAGGTGGTGCAGCAGCAGCAGCAGCTGGTGGTGCCGCACTTGTGGCAAGTGGATCATCGCTCAAGGGCAAGAAGACCAAAGTGGACGATGGAACGCCAAAGATTGTCTGCTACTACACCAATTGGTCGCAGTATCGCGTGAAGATTGGCAAGTTTGTGCCGGAGGATATTCCCGCCGAGCTCTGCACACACATTATCTTTGCCTTCGGCTGGCTGAAGAAGGGCAAGCTGAGCTCCTACGAGTCCAACGATGAGACCAAGGACAATGTGCCCGGCCTATACGACCGCATGATGAGTCTGCGCAAGGCCAATCCCAAGCTGAAGGTGAGTCATCCTTGGAGAGACTCTCTCTCAAAACTAATCACTGCTCTGCTTGTAGATTCTGCTGGCAATTGGTGGCTGGTCCTTTGGCACCCAGAAGTTCAAGGATATGTCTGCAACCCGTTACACCCGCCAGACCTTTGTCTACTCCGCCATTCCGTTCTTGCGCAAGCGTGGCTTCGATGGTCTCGACATGGATTGGGAGTATCCCAAGGGCAGCGATGACAAGAAGAACTTTGTGCTCCTGCTCAAGGAGTTGCGCGAGGCATTCGAAGCGGAGGCCCAGGAACTGAAGCAGCCACGACTCCTGCTCTCCGCCGCTGTGCCCGTCGGCCCGGATAATGTCCGGGGTGGCTACGATGTGCCCGCCATTGCCAGCTATCTGGATTTCATCAATCTGATGGCCTACGATTTCCATGGCAAGTGGGAACGCGAAACGGGCCACAATGCACCACTGTAAGCATCATTTAATCCCTGGCAAAGATTGCAAATATAGTCTAATAATCTCTCCTTGCAGCTATGCTCCTTCAACGGATTCGGAGTGGCGCAAACAGTTGTCGGTGGATAATGCGGCCAGTTTATGGGTGAAGATGGGCGCACCAAAGGAGAAACTGGTGATTGGCATGCCCACCTATGGACGCTCCTTTACGCTGGCCAACACCGACAAACATGGCCCAAATGCACCCGCAACTGGCGGTGGACGCGAGGGTGTCTATACCAAGGAGAGCGGCTTCCTCGCCTACTACGAGATCTGTGAAATGCTGCTCAATGGCGCCGTCTACGTTTGGGATGAGGAGATGAAGGTGCCGTACATGGTCGATGGTGACCAGTGGGTCGGTTTCGACGATGAGCGTGCCATCCGCAACAAGATGCAGTGGATCAAGACGAACGGGTATGGCGGTGCCATGGTCTGGACCGTCGACATGGATGACTTTAAGGGTGAGGTATGCGGAGGCAATGTCAAGTATCCCCTGATTGGAGCCATGCGCGAAGAGCTGCTGGGCATATCGCGTGGCAAGGAGGCCAAGGATGTCAACTGGACAGCAGTGGCAGCCACTTTCGAGGACATCGAAGAGGTGAGCAATAGAATCCAACTGCTGACCACTTTTACTTCACATTTCACATTTGACTTGTAGAAACCGGAACCCATCAAGATTGATCCTGAGGAGATCATCAAGAAGGTGCGCAAGCCGCATATACAGAAGAAGCAGCGCATCAAGGGAGGATCCCATGCCGTGGACACAAACAGTAAGTTTGCAGCTCTCATCTCCAGTTGGACAACTGTCAACTGATCATGCCAATTCCAATCTTGCAGCACGTCCCGCTCAGGTCTTCTGCTACTTGACCAGCTGGTCTGCCAAGCGACCCGGCGCTGGCAAATTCGAGCCGGATAACATTGATCCCAAGCTGTGCACCCACATTGTGTATGCCTTTGCCACGCTGCAGGATTACAAGCTGACGGAGGCCACCGACGACGATCCGGAGAACTATGAGAGTGTAATTGCCTTGCGGGATACGAATCCCGATCTGCAAATCCTGTTGGCCATTGGTGGCTGGGCCTTTGGCTCGACACCGTTCAAGGAGCTCACCTCGAACGTGTTCCGCATGAATCAGTTCGTCTACGAGGCCATCGATTTCTTGCGCGACTACAAGTTCAACGGATTGGACGTCGACTGGGAGTATCCGCGTGGTGCCGAGGATCGTGTGGCTTATGTGAATCTGCTGCGCGAGCTGCGTGTCGCCTTCGAGGGCGAGGCGAAGTCTTCGGGTTTGCCACGCCTCCTTTTGACGGCGGCGGTGCCGGCGTCGTTTGAGGCCATTGCCGCTGGTTACGATGTGCCGGAGATCTCCAAATATCTGGACTTTATCAATGTGATGACCTACGATTTCCATGGCCAATGGGAGCGCACAGTGGGACACAATTCGCCACTGTTCGCCTTGGAGTCGGCAACGGGCTACCAGAAGAAACTAACTGTGGATTACAGCGCACGCGAGTGGGTCAAACAGGGTGCGCCCAAGGAGAAGCTATTGATTGGCATGCCCACCTATGGCCGCAGCTTTGAGCTGGTCAACGATACACAATTCGATATTGGATCACCCTCGTCGGGTGGCGGCAAATCTGGCAAGTTCACCAGCGAGGCGGGCTTCCTCAGCTACTACGAGGTGTGCTCCTTCCTGGCGGCGGACAACACAACGCTCGTCTGGGACTCGGAGCAGCAGGTGCCCTTCGCCTACAGGGGCAATCAGTGGGTCGGATTCGACGACGAACGTTCGCTGAAGACAAAGGTGAGTTCAAAAACAATTTAAATAGAAGAAAATCCATCTATAAAAATGTATTCTGCTTGCACAGACGGAATGGCTAAAGGAGCAAGGCTTTGGCGGCATTATGGTCTGGTCAATAGACATGGATGACTTCTCGGGTCGCTGCGGCAGTGGCAAATATCCCCTGTTGAATGCGTTGAGCGATGAGCTGAAGGACTACAAGGTGGCTCTGGAATACGATGGACCCTATGAGTCCCATGGACCACGCGGTGCCTACACAACAAAGGACCGTAAGTACCAAGGAATATATATAGATATATAGACATATATATACTCACCTATCATCCTTATGCAGCACACGATGTCACCTGTGCCGAGGAGGATGGTCACATTAGCTACCACAAGGATTGGGCCGATTGCACGCATTACTATATGTGCGAGGGAGAGCGCAAGCATCACATGCCATGTCCTGCCAACCTGGTCTTTAATCCCCAGGAGAACGTCTGCGATTGGCCCGAGAATGTTGAGGGCTGTGGCGCCCCAGCGGAGGCGACCACCTAAGCCAATGCGAGCCGGGACTAATTGGAGCTGCTTTGTGAGGATCAGCGGATCCTCTTCAAGTTGTTAATACATACATATACATTATTAAATGTTTCCCCCCCCCCCCCCACTCTTTAGATTTTAGTATAAAACTGCGAAACTGCTGCCACTCCTCCTTACCCGCCCCCCACAACTAACGCGAACAAATACTCAACAAATTTGCTAAAGTTCAGCTGAATTTTTTGTACTTAATATAAGTTTTAATTAAAGAGCCTAAGTTTAAGTAGTTTAGTTGACCTAGCTAAAAGAGGATTGCACAACTATTTAGTTGCTATTAAGACACAAACAACAAGCCAACATCTTTCGCCCAGCTTTATCTTCTCGAATTCGATAAACATTTTACCACAACAACAAGAACAACAAAAAACAAGAAAAGGGTATATAGAAGCGGCCGAACTTTTATATATTTAACTGTGATAACCACACACATAAGAAACAACAGCAACAGCAACAACCATCAAACAACAACAAATGCTACTCCATCAAATTGAAATTGCCCACAATTACTACCCCCTGCCGCGTTACAGAAAAAGAATACAACCAACCCACAATTATTACCGCAAACTCCTCTTTCTATCTCGCTATCTCTCTCTAACACGAAAGTTGTACATTTCCAAGTTTTAACTATAAAATTTGTATTATACGTTGTAATTATTTAGTTAAAAATAAAAACTTTAAAAACAATTAAAACTATTTTCAATGTTTAAATGCATTATTCATGGCCCGATGGGAATCAGGCACTGCAAAAAATTATTTTAGACTCATTAGAGTGCTCCTCTCCACGGAAATCTTTAGTAAAAGGCGAAAGATTTATTCGACAACTGAAGAGAAGCCAGAGTAGCCATACGCCGCCAATTTCAAACTGTACTACGCAGTTGCTGCTAGAACTGTTTGGGAATTATACGCAGCTTGGTTGGCAAATAAATGCTAAAAATTCGCTGCATATTTAGTGGCGCAGCACAAACAACCACCACGCATCAACTGCGCATGTGCCACAACTTCTACATTGTAATTCACAACAGGTTTAGACAAGCTGCTTGTATATAGGGGCATTAAAACTTGTGTCAAGTTATCGCTTCTCGGCCTTATGGCTAAGATCAAAGTGTAGTATCTGTTCTTATCAGCTTAACATCTGATAGATCCTCCATCGGAGGACAACAAATGTTAAACTGATTTTTGGAAATAGACGGAGTGCTAGGAGCTTGCTCCACCTCTGTCGCGGGTTGGCCTGGCATTGCAGTACCGCCAGGATTTCGGCCCAACTAATTAATAAATTGAGCACTCTCTCAGAATCCCATGGCATTTTGGGTTTCACAGGCAAAGTGCTCTGTCAACCCCGCAAAGCTTCTCGCGTTCGTGCGAATACTCAAATATAACGTAGTGTTCACATAAGATTTAACAGAGTTGCGATAAATTGATGAGTTAGCAGCGATCATCCAATATCAGTTGCGCATTCAAACAAGCAGTAAAAATGACGTCTTGCGAGTAGTTAACAGAAAAGCTGCATACTTACAGGCATGTTTATTTAAATGTTAAATACTTTAAAAGAAATTGTTGCATACTTTTAAAGGCTTGCACTAAGGTTATTCATAATAATTACCATTATATTGGATGGGAAAAACACTGAAACTTAAAAAAAGGGGTTTACATGAGAAATATTACAAATATATGCACATATATAGTTACACAATATTTTTATGAGAATACACTTTTATACAATTTCAATTTTCCTGTAGTCTTTGTTGATGATCCTATTGGAGGAACAAGAAAATATTAGCTAATGATCTAGAAATATGTCCAACAGTACTACGACTGTACATACAAGGTCTGCCGAACGGAGATTCCGCCTGGAACTGCAGAACAGAGCTGAGGATGAGATGTTGATTGTGAGCTGAAAGAGATAATGGTAACATTATTGCACATAGTTATAAACTGTTAAATATTTAATTTAACTCAACTTAAGTTTTGTCTTGCAGTTTTCCTTAACTGCTTGTGGTTTACTTACAATATGGATCTTTAAGCCGTAAATATAAATATTCGATTTGTATTTAAACATTTTATTATTTTTTTTTTTGTATTGGTTTTTCTCAAAAAGTTTTCTTTTACATTCTGTTTTTGTAGGTTTTCTCGTTTGTTTTTCTTTAATAATAAAATTTATAACTAATTAATTAGTCTTACTTTGAAGTACACAATAACTTAATAGAGAAAAGTACGCGTATGCATTTTTGATGCTCGACAAACAGAAACAGCGTGTGAAAAAGGAGTACACAAATTTTGAAGTGGAAAACAAAAACGAATATTTCGGAAAAAATTTGCAAATCGGTGTGGAAAACAAAAAGCTAACAAAAACAACGATTACGTTTGTGTTTGAGAGGTATTATGTCGAGTGTACAACTTAAATGGTGTCAACAACAAAATAAATAGTGCATAAATTAAAAAAAAAGAAAAGAAAGAAACATGCACGAGCAAGTAAACGATCCACGGCACTCTGCTGAGCATGCAGCCCAAATAAATTGAATCTTAGAAGTCATCAGACATTAATAAATCATAATCACAAAAGTACTTTTGACATTTTTGCTGGTGGTCTTTGAGTGGTTGAAGCCATTGGTATTTTTTTGTTTTTTTTTGTTGGTTGGTTTTCTTGGTTTTGTTGGTTTGTTGTTGGTTTCGTGATATGCGGGCGCAACGCGACTTTTAAGCATTTAAAATAATATGCATGAATGCATATACAAATATATATTGACAGACTTTTAAGTAGTTTTCTTTTGCTTCTGCTTCTTCTTCTTGTTGTTGTACTTGCAATTTTGGAGCGTGCAAAGGTATGTGTTCAAATGTGTGTGTGTGTGTTGTGTGTGTGTGGAACGAAACAATTATAAATATTGCAATCTCAGAGACAGAAGACCATCAAGAGCTCTTTGTTTGTTGTAAATATAAGTAGAAGTATATATATATTTATATATATATATATGTATATACATATCACGCTGTGTGTGGCCGAGACGTTTACCGTTATTCGTTTCATCTTCATCATCTGCTTCTGCTTCTTATTCATTGTTATACTGTATATATTTTGTTTTGAGCAACTTGCCAAGTCGCGCTGTGCGTCGCTTTGCATGTTCTTCTTCTCATCTTCTTCATTCTTCTTGTTACAACAATTTTCTTTTTATACTTTTTACAAATACATAGTTTCCATTTTCATTTTGCTTTTGCTTTAAATCGCTTTTTAAAAAATACTTCACTATAAAAATATTAGTTGAAAAATAAGAAATGTTTCTTTTTGTTTCGTGTTTTCTTTTTCTTTTTGTTGGTTGTTCGTGTTGTTTGTTGCTGTTGTTGTTTTTTGTTGCTGCTGCAGAGGGAGAGGGGGGCAGGCAGGCAGGCGCTCAGCTCAATGCTTTCAGCATTCTATTTGTTGTTTGTTGCTTGTGGTTCCTTGTTTACTTTTCTTTTTCGTTTTGTTTTCTATTTTTTCTACAATTTCTTTTCATTTTGCTGTTGCTCAATTTTTCGCACTGCACATTTCCCTTTGATTTATTTTACAATTTGTTTTCGTTTTGGTTTTTATCTGTTTACTTTTAGTTGTTGCTTCTGCTTTTGTTTTTGTTTAGACTTTTCAATACATATAAATACTTTCTTTCCTCATCTTCTTTAGCTCTGTAAAAATAGATCAACTTTTTGCTTTTTTCGTACTTCTTTTTGTTTCGCTTTTTTTTTCTTCTTTTTTGTTTGTTTTAACAAATTTTGCAAGTTTTTTTTTGTGTTTTTTTACAGTTTTTTCTCTTTTGTTTACATTTTTTGTTCTTGTATATTTTGCATTTTTTATCGTTTTTTTTCTTATTTTTTGCTTTTCTTGGAGAGATTTCGTTTTCAAAAAGTTGTTGCTCCTTTTCTGTTTGGTTGTTGTTGGTTTGTTTGTATGTTGTTGTTGTTGTTTTGTGTAAGTCTAAATGCCTAAAATGTAGTTAAGATCTAACATAACATTGGATATCAGTTGTTTTTTTGTTTTTCTTTTTATGTTGTTTTCTTCATTTTTTTTTGCCTTTGCTTAACAATATAAATCTGCGTATGTAGTTTTTATTATTATTATCTTTAATTTTATGTTCCTCATCTCTTCACGCGCCCAAAATGTCTTACTTATATTGAATGTTTCTCTTAAATCTTTAACCGTTTTTAATCGTAGTTTGCTTTGTGGTCGGTTAGGGTAGGGAAGGGGCGTGTTTTGTTTTGGGGTTGTGGTTGGGGCGTGGCCAAATCAGCTGCGCGTGTTTCTTATTATTGTTGTTGCTGTTGTTGTTAACGTGTTTCGTTGGGGAAATGTGCTCAATTGGCCGCCGTCGACATCAGTTCGGAGAAGGCGTTCTCCAGACAATTCTTGAGTTCAGCATAGGAGACAATTAAAACCGATTGCTCATCGCGTGACATCAGTTGCACCTGAGGGGAGTGGATTAGAGAGATTGTATTAAACACTCGCAACTCACTTTATGCATTTTAAATTGGAATATCAAACAGCTGTTCATAAAATCCACACTGGTTAACAGTGGCATAACAGTGAGTTAACAGTATGGATTTCACTTTTCTCAAATTCAACTGTTTTACATCTATTTTATGAGGAGTTATCCATTAACAATAACTTTTTCTGTCGAACAGAGCTTATATGTATATAGAGAAAGAGAGAGAGAGAGATGGATGACGTCACTTACGCGCTCAATGGAGCCGGCGTCCAGTTTGTTGAGGCATTGTACGATGTGTGCGTGATCCAGCCAGGGTCGGCCATCCTCGGTGACGGAATGAAATAGAAAATCACGGAATAATTTCAGCATATATCTATCACCAGTCTCTGACCAAGTGCAATCCAAATTGAAGCTGCCACAAAAGAAGGATTTATATTAAATGTGATAAACAGAATGATATACATATGAGAAACATACTCAGGTCTTTCATTGATGCTGTTCAGTTTAACCAAAGTGCGATAGAGACGACCGTTCTCCATTTCCTTGGCCAGCTCATCCTCCTGCATGTCCACCTGTGCCTGGAGTGCATCCAGTTGCGTATAGAAGCGTGCGCCAATCATTGGCATCAGGTCCGTTACAGAGCGGCGGTTATTCGTGGTGAAGAGGTAACTACAAATATTATATATATAGACACATATATTAACTACAGTCTCTTCAAATCTGTCAATCTTAGCTTGGCTTACACAATAAAATTGCGTAGATCGGTGGAGTAGTTTCTGGTTACCATATCAATGCTGGACTGCACATTGTCGCGCTGCACGGACTGCAGGCAGCGACAGGCCAGCGCTAATACTAAGCGACCCAATGCGGTCAGATCGTCCTGCAAAATAAAACCAAACACGAATGTAATCAGACTAGACAATCTATAATCTGTATAGTATATAATATTCATGGAAAGACATTTGTTTTAATTAATAACTAGACATTATAGATAAGTTTTGCTTTTGCTTTGAATAGACGAGTTTTGGATTTCGGAGTGGATTCATAGTCGACTCAATGCTAGAGCTGTGCATCGTGTATCTTCTATTCATTATAACACATTTCTATATTCCAATAATTTTTATTATCGCCTATTTGTCCCAGTGAAAGCAATTTTAATAATTAACAATAATAATAATCAGTTTTTTACGGTTCGATTTGATCATTTTCATATTCAAAAGCTGATTAAACTTGCTTATAAGAATGGAAAAAGTTGATTTATTTATTGTCTTGCTATTTTTGCTTCGTATTTAGCTATATTTATATTATATTATAAGCACTCTGCTCACCTGCTGATGCATGTTGACCAGTGCCAGGGGATTTGCCGCATTGGGATCGAACTGCGTGATATCTGAGATGCAGCAGGAGCTGAAGCGCACTCGTTTCCCAGTCACAATGATCTTTGTGGGATCCAGTATTCTAATGCAAAACTCTCGCTATTAGTTATAGTTCTTATATATGATGATGATGATGATATTTTCTACTCACTTGCAGGCCAGTCCCGCTTGATGGATAGCCCTGAGGCCCGCGGTCAGCTGCATGATGATCGACCAAATTGTCGACTCGGGGAGCAGGGGTCCGTTATTTGTGCGCTGCATGTTGCTCTTATGACTGCAATTAGTTGTTGGGGGTGCAATTAAATGTGGGGCATGCCTCATTGAGGTTTGTCGCCTCACTCACCTGAAGGGGCGTGCGTCGCCTTGGAATGGATCGGTGTAGCCGTTGGTCTCCGGCGCGGGCGTAAAGTATTTGGCCAGCAATGTCTGTGAGCCGGGATAATAATCGTACACTAATACTAGGGCTGCAATGGATTGGCCAATAAAGGGTATTATGAAGACATTACACAGACAGAGGGAAGCAACAATGAGCTTTCAAGGTACATATATATAAATGTCTGATCAGCATTAACAGTCGAATCGATTTAGCCTTGTCTGTATGAAGAATCACTTCTCAGAGACTTTACATTTGTAAATTTATAAATCAACATAAGTTAACAGTGAGTTAACAGTGTGGCTTTGCTAGGAAAACGCACAGGGTATCTGCTAGTCGAGATCTCTCGATTTGAAAAGCTTATAGTTACTACACAAATTTACAAATTAACTTTCCTGAAAATACATTGCGTCTATTTCTATAAAATCTAGTCATGCCTAAAATATAGCTATATATCTATCTCTGCTGACTCTTTTCCCTTGCAGTTATTGGCGACGATCTGCACTTACAGTTATCACCAAATGCTTTTGTCGTAAACACCTCGCGCAGCTGGACGACATTCGTGTGTTGCAGTTTCTTCCACATCTCGACGAGCGTCATGCACTTCGTGGACTGCAAACGGAAGCCTGCAAGGGGTAGATTAGTACAGAGATTAGCAATCTGCAAGTAACTGCTGTTTGGGAGATTCTCTTCTCCACTGACCGTGTAATCTTCGTAGGCAGTACTTGAATCCGGTGCTGTTGTGCGTGGCTCGATAGGTGCTCGCTGGGAGGGTTAGTTTGGTGTGCATCGCTTGGGCAGGCGCCTCCAGCGGATAGAGTGCGTGATAGTTGTCCACCTCGAGAGGCAAAGCATGCTGGGCCGCTTCCGCAGCGTCCATGATCAGATTGGAGATCTCGTTGCGGGCAAGTATGTCGGAGCGCATCTCGTCGGGCATAAAGAAAGCGGATTCCAGTTGCGTTTTTGGCTGCATGGCAATCACATTGGACGCCGGACCCGGATAAACATGGCCAGCATACAACAGCTGCGATGGCACCACTGCATTCAGTGGCGCCACAGCGCTGACAACGCCATGATGTGCGGGATGCGACGGATGTGTGGAATCCACCACAACCGAATTGACAACGGGCTGATTATTGGGCGCATTCGCTGTGGGATAAAAGTAGATGGTGCCACCAACGTTCTCCTGTGAAAGGATGGAATGGAAACAGATTAGTCAGTGTACTTAGTATTGATGGTAAACGATTTTTTCAAGATCAGAAAGATATGGGCTTCTGAAGGGAAAGAAGTGTTCAGCTGATTCTTCATTACGAAATGGAACTTTCTCTATGCAAGCATTTGCAGCATAGAAAATCATTGAAAATTGTTCTTACCTGATGCACGCTCGCTGGCAATGTGGTTGGTATGGGCGAGGCACCATGTGGCGTCATGCCGTGTGGCGGCGACTTCTCGCCACCGATCATTGCCGCTGCTGTTGTTGCGGGTGAATCCTGCTGCTGCTGTTGTTGTTGTTGGCGCAACATTGCGTTCCGCGCTTTCAGCGGCGTTTGGGCGGACATGCTGCTGACAAAGGGTGCAGCAGCTGGATTCGGTGGTGCCCCAATTATTGCAATGGGTGCCGACGATGCTGACGATGACGACGATGACAACGATGAGGATGTGACTGATGTAGCTGACGTCACTGATTGTTCCGTCTGTTGTTGTTGTTGTTGCTGCTTCTGCTGTTGTTGGGCAATGCTAACAGTTGCAACTGTTGCTGTCGTCTTTTGTTGTTGCATGGATAGCATCATTGAGCTGGCAACGGCGGCGGAGGAATTGCTGCCATTTACCGTTTTACTAATGCTCACCGCTGACGTCACCGAGGACGAGGTGGAAACGGGCGACGCGGTTGCTGCTGCTGTTGCCGTTGCTGATGCTGTGGCAACGGCGGCGGCTGCAGCAGCAGTTAACCCATTAACGCCGTTTAGGCCATTATTCACGTGATATGGTGTATAAAAATTGGTTGGAATGAATTCGGGCGATTGTGGCGTTACCTATGTAATAGGAAAGGAGCAAAAAAGCAGCATTAGAAAAAGAATTTCAAATAGAAAAAAAAATTTAACTAACAAAAACACACACCAAAAAAAACGCACTTTAATCAACTAAAAAGTGGGTGAAAGGAGTAAAAGGGAGAAGGGGGTTTCTAACTGGTAGGGAGGGAGGCGGGGCGGGGTGGGCTGTGTCTTTTGTGTTTGGCTAATGCTTTTTACCTGAGTCTTTTTATTAACAGCTAGAGACGTAGAAGAGGAAGAGTCCAAGTTAAGTAGTGCGAACCCATTACTGTTACTGTTACTGCTACTGTTAGTTGTACAGTTACTGTTACCGTTACTATTATTGCTACTGTTACTGCTAGCATTAACATTAATGTTAAGGTTAACATTAACACTAGCAGTATTCAGCCCATAGCCCGTCGCTGTGGCAACATTCTAACAGAGAGAGAGAGAGAGAGAAAGAGAGATACAGCATGCGAATACACAAAGAGAAATAGAGAGAGAGAGAGAGAGATAGACATATTTAACAACAGACAGTTACGAGTTAAATATCAAGATCTGTGGGACCTTTATAAGAAGCCAGAAATAAGCCTTGTATTACTTGTGAAAAGCAGTAATCTGGGGAAGTTAAATATATAATATAAGCGATTTTACAAAAATATGGATAAACGCAACAGAAGCAAAATAAGTCAATTTTAGCTATAAAATAACAATAAAATCTGCAAATTACTGAAACATTGTGACGATTTTAATGGAATCTTAAGAGTGGACTTATTATATACTATTATTTTGTGGAAATGCGTATTTGTCACACATGTAGCAAAATATGTCTTATCTTATCTGCAATCAAATCACAACAGCAATAAAAAATAAAAACAAAAGCAGAAGTACTTTGCCTTTCAAGTTCAAAATTTGTCTGTTAATGTTAAGTGAACTGTTAATTGAATTAGCATTAACAGCGTCACAGTAACATTTGATTTAGGAGCTTAAGGGCTCGCTTTTCAATTAAATGTTGTTTATTATTCGCTTTTTATTATCGCCACAATTCATTTAATTGATCATAATTTTGCACCTGTTTCTTAACCTATTTTTTTTATTGTGTTTGCTAAATGTTTTCTTTAAAATAAAAGTAAAAATCTCATGCATGAACAGCAATTAATTGTTATTACTTGTATATTATATGTGCATGCACAGATTGCATTTGTCTGTCTGCTTAAATTTATGTACATGTTGGTTGATAGGCGCAATAAAAAAATAAAAGTCGGTCAAGCACATACGCATATATATGTATATATATGCATATATATAAATGGATTTGTGGATTGAACAATTAAATTGTTTGAAGCAAATTGAGTGAAAACAAATACATAAAGCATAATTACAAAAACACAACAGCAACAAAAATCTGTCTGACAACAAGCAAAACAAACTTCAGCTGTTAATTAAACAGATGCTTGCTGCTTGTAATGGTGTGGTGGGCATGGGGGCGGTTGTGGTTGCGGGTGCGGGGGTGGCGGTGAAGGTGGGTGTTCGCCAGACAGGGTCACATTTGTTAGGTGGCCTACTCTCGAAATGAGTTTAACATGCATGACTCTCAAACTGTGGCGGCATGTAAAGCAAGCAAGCAAGCGAGCGCTCTTCTCAAACTGTGCATTTAACCGAAAATAACTTATATAAATAAAAGCAACAACAAGCAGAACAACAAAAAGAAGAACTTACCATATAAGTGGCGAGTTTACTCTCAGACGGTATACCATTTGAAGGTGAAAAGAAAATTGGATCCATAGCAGCCGTATCTGTAAGAAGAGTGCAAAAGAGAGCGATATAGTTAACAGAATACAAAAAAATGATTAGAAATCAATTAAACAAACATCAACATGAATTTTGACCGCATGTCTGTCTATGTGTGTGAGTGTGTGTGTGTGTGAGATAGGCATAACACAGTCAAGAGCGAAAGAATGGGAGGGAGCCGACTGCAATGCACAGCTGCGTTTGTTTTTGTTCATTTTATTTTGTTTTGCTTTTGTAGACCCGTTATCGATAAAACGATAACAGGCGCGCTTATTTTTGGAGCACATTCAACAAAAGCTGTTGTTGTGTTTTTGTAGAGTGTGTAAATAAAAGCAAGACGCAATTCGAATGGCGAATAGCAAAATACGCAAAAAAATTTAATGACATAAACCAACAACAGCAGCAACAACAACAAGAAACTGTGAAATGGAAATGAAGAAGGTGCGATGAGCGGAAGGAGGAGGAAAGAACACAACGCAAAATAATTCTTTTTCACCTCTGCACGTATTTACACACATGCAGACCGCTAAGTATATTTAGGGGAAATGGCGTCGGCAGCAGCTTGTCTAATTGGAGTTATGCTCTGACTCTCAAACTGCACTTGTGGAATGTGGCGTGGAAATCGAATCAGCAGCAACAGCGCAGCAAAAGTAAAATACAATTATTAAGAGCATAAAATAAATTCTTGATGGGGGGTGGAGAGAGACAGAGAGAGATAGAGAGAAGAGGCGGGGTGGGAGCTGCATGAAATGGGCCAATGCCTTTTTGGCAGCACAGAAAGCAACGCAACAAATAATGCGATAAAAAAAAAAACGCAAAAGTAAGAATGAGACAGATCGAGGAGTTCACAACTACCAAATACCCTGTAAATACCTCAACAGTTTTTACGCAAACAAAAAAAGAAAGCGACTATTGAGTGCTTCTTAATTATACATAAATTTCTTTACCTTTTCAAGGAATTCAATAAATCTAAACAGAATTGAACAGATGAGAATTGTCTTCACTTTTGTTGATTTACACGAACAAGTATACCCCGATTTATAAGAGGCAGGTAAGTGGTATAGAAAGTGATATTGGCCTTGAAAATATTCGTGTGCATGTATTAGGCAAAAACAAGAGAAAAAAAACTGTTTCATTTGATGTGTGCTTAGCTGTTTTGGCAGTCACTTGTGCTTTTACTTATTTCTCTCCTTTTTTTTGCGCACACGCAAAACACGAAAAATATTTAATTAAAAACTGTGAGGCAGAAGTTAATAATTGTTTTTGTTTGTGGTTGCTGTTGAAAAATATGCAGGTGGAGCAGCAACAGGTTGGAGAGTCACACTTACTTTGAGCATGGGGCCAGCCAACATCAATGCGTGTAAAACCAGCGGCGCGAGAACGAGTTACGTTTTTTTTTTTTACTTCGCTTAACAATGCGTCACAAACTGTAGTATTGTTTGTATGTATGTATGCCAACGTATCTGTGAACGTTTTCACTTTACATAAATTGACTGCTACTGGCAGTTTGTTGTTGGCATGACGTCGGCAAAAACAAAAATATATATATAAATGTTTTTATTTTTTTTTTGCGGTGAAACACAGACAGCTGTGTTTTACGTTTTGCTTCAAAGATCACGAACGCGGCGATCATGAAAACATACACACACACAAACACAGACACACTAACACAGAGACACTCTCACACAACAGTAACGAAAAAAAAGAAACTTCAAAATAAGGTGGGCGCAAGACGGGAAAAGAAGGGCGGTGGGAGGGTGAGACAAGCGCGCAGCAATCACAATATTATTACGTGGTTATGTCACGTTGTTTGTATGTTTGCACTGTTTACCGTTATGTATTATACCGCTGCTGCTGTAACGCTGCTCTGCTGTCGTCGTAACGTTTTAACGTAAAGCACAACAGTCGCCGAGGAGACGACGGAACTACGAACTGCGCGGCAACACGGCGCAAACTCAACTGAGTAAACGAACGAGTGAGCGAGCGAGCGAGCAGGCGGCGGAGGTGTGTGTGTGTGTGCGTAACTATCAAGCAAGAATAGAACGAGAGAGAGTTAAGTTAATGTGAATGAGCGCCACTGCTGTGCTGTAGCTCTCAAACTGTAAAACACAACTGATGAAAGTGGGCGTGAATGCGTATGTGTGGGTGTGCGGCAGATGGCGAGATAGCGCCTATGGCTGGAAAGTTTCGCTGTCACGAGAGCAAGAAACGCATCACATTTTGTTTACATTTGGTGTGCATGGTTTGAGAAGCACAAACAAATACACAATTGCGTCGCATGCATTGACCCTTCTTGCCCCATTGGCCATTTTGCCGTGTTCATGATCTTCATTAGCACCCCAATTTGTTTGTTGTTGCTCGTCCCCCTCCAAAATATTATTCAATATTGTTGTCTATTAAAGAACATAAAGCTCTTTGTGTGAGGGTTGCTCTTATCAATTATTTCTTATTTGTATATTTTGTATATATGCATTGGACATCGGACATTATCTCCTGACCACATTTTTAAATAAATCGAAAGCCCCTTTAAAATTGCTTACTGTCAATAAATTTACTACAGAATGATGACAATTCTCGATCAGAGAAGGTCAAACTGTTAATTAACAGTCGGAAAATGGCCCTCAGTTCTTATCAGCAACAGAGCATTCTATTCTCACCACAGCTCACCACGCTGTTCAAAATGTCAACAGCACTTCAAATTACTTGTTATAGCTGCTATCTCTGTCGCACACACACACACACACCTGCCGTTTGACGCGAGGCCAAAATACAATTTATCAATGCTTCAAAGTTTGAGTTTGAGTTCATGTAAGTTACAAAGATCTCTTGTCTACGGATAACTGTAAAGCGTAGTTCACTCACATTGAGTGAGCTGCTCGTAAACTAATCATTCACTCACATGAGTTTACTATTATCAAATGCGGCACTTGAGAATGATTTATTAAAGTACGTAAAATACTTATTAAAGATAATAATATTTCAAAACTATAGACTACTACAGTCATTCCTCATTGACACTATTACGGTTCAATTTAAATGTGTAATGCTTAAATTTACATAAAATATGTAATAAGAATATTAGATTATAAAATAAAACAGTTTCACAAATGTGTGACATTTAGCTGCCAAGCGTTGATACAAAGGCATTTCATAGTAATTTCGAGACTAGCCAATAGATTACAAATTTAATATGAAAATTTGCATATTGTTTTTTATTGCTTCGAAGAAACCAAGTTAATCGAGGGATTCCCCAAAATGAGAGGTAGTCAAAATAAATTTTACACATTTCTTTTGTGCCTCTTACAAAATAAAAATAAAATAAGGTAAAGAAACAAAAAACTAGAAATAAATAAAAATTAAAAAGTTGGTCAGCGAACGGTTTTCATTTGCATCATACTCTGGTAGAAGAATAAAAATAACAACAGTGAATGATATTCGTAACGTTGCCAGCTCTGCGTTGCACTGGAATACCTCTCGCTCGCTCTTTCTGTCTTGAGCCAACAACGTGAGTAAAGACAAGTTTGGTTGGTTGTTGTAGTTGTTACTGCTGTCAGCTTAGCAGCAACAGTTTGACCCAATTCGCAGTCGACATTCAGTTCAAGCTGAAAAAACAGCTGTGCAAAATGCCGCTCATAAATTGCGGGCGCCAATGGGTTAAAAATAAGCGAGCGCTAAAAAAAATAGCAACAACCAATGGCAAACTCATTGAATATGTAAGCAATTAAATAAAAAAAATAAAAATAGGCCTATGCTCGTTGAATATTTTGTGGATTTCGATTTCGACAAACGACAAATAAATGTATTACTTATTTCGAAATGTGACACAAAGAAGAAGAAAGCGGGTGTCAAAGCGTAGGCGGCGAAAATTAGATGGGGATGGATGGTATTGGTAGTGGGAATGGGAGGGAGATGGAAGCGGAAGCGCCACAGAATGGACTCAGCGAGGCGCAAAATGATATGCACAACGGACAAAAAAAATCAAAGTAAAAACAACAAAGTTCAACACCTCTTCTTTCCCCTTGCCCGACCATCTCTCTCTTTTTGTTGTCTCTTGCTGAGTCAGGCGCTTCTTCTTCTTCTTCTTGCGCTGCGTTGGCAGAAAACACACAGAAAACAGAACACAGAAACAGAAACAGCGACAGAAGCAGAACAACAGCAACAACAGCGACGAAGAACGGTCGACTTTCGCTCAATTTCATTTTGATTGATGTATTATTTCTGCTGCTGCTCATTGACAACCAGCAGCAGCAGCGAATTGCGGCGAATTACGCATTTACCTTAAGAAGGGGGAGAGAGACCGATAGAGCGAAGTGTGTTGTGCTTATTACAACATTAATCTCAACATCAGTTGCCAATGTTAATATTATTAATTCTCTCTCGCTTGCGCTCCCAGTTCAAAGTGTCACACCATATTCGAAATAACATTAACAGCACCAACACGCACACAAACACACGCGTTACTTCGCGCACTAACAAATCGTAATGCAAACAAAAACAGAATTAAACACGCAGAAAGACTGAGTGAGAGAGAGAGAGAGAGGGAGAGAGCAGAGCAGCACTCACTTATGCTGAACTCTCGTTCGCCGCGTTCGCCGTGTGTTAACGTTCGTTGCCAAAGAGTGACTAACTCAAAAGGTAAGCAGCAGCAGCAGCGGCGGCGGAATGAAGACGAAACACGAAGCCAAGTGCAAAAAACAAACACACAAACACACACACACAAACACGCGCGCGCAGCAAAACAAAAATAAAAGTCATCAAAAGCGGAAAAATAAAATAAAAGCAAAACGCGGCTAAGCGCCTGATAATACAGTTTGAGAAGCAGCTAGCTAGCACGCGCACAGCTGTTCCAGCGCGTGTCAAACTGTAGTAGTGATGAGAAACGTTGCCTTCACGGTGTGAACCAGTTCGCAGAGTGCAAGTTCACAGGGAACTATATTTAAATTTAATTCCAGCTAGCCAGCTAACTAGTTGTAAGTATTAACATAAAAATGTTAGCTAACAGTGGTTAACAGCAAATTCCAACTATTAGAAATTGGAGTTCTGAAACAAGTGCTTCCAGAAGTTATTTTTATTGTCGGCTTCCTTGTTAAGAAACTTTCGCTTTGAAAATTCGTTTTAAATAGATTTATAAAAATTCATAGATAAAACTTGTAAAATTCTTGAGTTTCTTTGCGAATGCAAATCAATGCCACTGTACATTTTATATGTATCTTCCAGTCAATTTGATGGACATTTCCCATAAGAATTGTATACATTATGATAATGTGATATGAATTCAAATTCAAATGAGGAAACTGTGCCACAAGCCGTTACTCCTTGGAGAATAAATAAATATCAGAACAGAGACAAACTGAGCAGAGCAGAACAACTTGTGAACAACAAACAAAAAAATAACATTTCCAAATCACAACACATATCTCTCTTGCACTCTCTCTCTCGCTAATAGATAATGATACAAAGCTAATGGCTATAAAACTGCCAGCTCATTCAAATTATTGACACAGACACAGATACAAACACAAAGGAAAGACGAAAATGCGACGCATGGAGTAATGCGAAGAGGAGTGTGTGGGTAGAGGCCTCAAGGGCAGCGCAAGCGAAAGCGAATGTGAATTTAAAGCCACAGGCGAAAGATGGCAGAAGGAGCAAGAGGTGGCAGAGGGTGGGATGGTTGTCATTACGATAATAGATGCCCAAGAAAAAACAATGCCCAACACGGAAATAGAAATATGCAAAACGCGTGCGAATGTGTTGCATACTTTCAAGCAACAACAAACTGTAAAATTGCAAACAAACAATAACAAACAAGAAAAGTTTGTCTGTCTACCAGGCAGCAATTAGATTATGTGCGCTATAGAGATACCCTAGGAATCTGTCAGAGTAAGCAAAAACTCTTATACGATTTGATTTATTCAATTACAATTTGTATCAATTAGTTTCTATTTATTATAATTACAACGCATATTTCGAGGGTATCTGATTGTCGATCATTTCTTTTATTATATAACACCAATATGAAATTAATCATATTTAGAGCAAACCAAGACACTTTTATAAATAAACATTTAATTTATATGCAAAAATTGGCAATTGGAAATGGTTTGTGGATCATAACAAAAAAAAGCCAAAGACAAAGGAAATTTATTGTGATTTAGTTAAATGTGGATCGTAGACAAATGAATGGAAGGGGTGTTAAGTTGAGGCACGAAACAAATCAAATCAAAAGAAAATGAAGCAGGGAGGGAGAGAGATAGAAGCATTGTTTGTTGCAGTTTTGGCCAAAACAAAAAAAAACGTTTATAGTGTCTAAGAACAGCAACAAAAAGCCAAAGAGTGGAAGCCAAGAAAAAACCAGTTTCAAATTGCACTCGATGCGATCAACAAGAGAATAACAAAGGCAACATAATAAACAACAGGTAAAAAAAACAATGCACCCACAGAGAAGTGAAGAGAAAGAAGAAGACCGAAGCGAACCAGAAAGTCCCCAAGTCAAATTGTATTTCCGACAGCTGCCGTTTGTCGATGCCAGTAACTGGTTTTTTTTTGTTTTTTAATATATTTTTCTTTAGTAAAGGACAAAAGGAAGTAGTTTTTACTGTGGCACAGGTTCCACAATTGAAGAAAACAAGTGGAACTTGTTGGTGCCTGGAAGGTGAGAGTGTGCAACCCTCTTGAATGATCGTTTCCAATAACGAATCTATCTCTATCTTTATCGCTCGCTGTATGTATGTTTGTGTGCGTAATTACAGCGCAGGGTTAGATTGATTACAAAGAAGCAGTTATGCTTTACACTTATACATTCATTACAATACCGCTCTCCTCGTTGTCTCTCTCACGTCCCATGATCTACCATTCCCATTCCATGGTCACGGCACGTAATTGCCAATAAACTGTGTGAATACAATTTCCAGTGCAGGCGCAATTTTCAGGAACGTAAGTGAATTAAAGGCGGAAAAGGAACATAAAGAGAGCATCGACAGCAGTTTGAGAACAGCACAAAATATGCCAAAGGTGACTTTCAATTCAAACACATACACACGTACACAGTTTGTATTTCTGTTTTTGCTTTGTTTTGTTTTGGTTTTGATTTTGCTTTGCTGTTCACTTACCTGCCGGGAAGAAATTGTTCAAGAACGTTGACATTTTTCTTTTTCACCTTTGCTCCGCGCTCATTCGCTTCACCTTAGAAGCAGCAGTAGCAAGAACAACAACAAAGCAAACTGCGCGTTGCGCTCACCTCTGCTGCTATCTCTTTCTCGCCTTGTTGTTGGTCCTGTTGTCGTTGTTGTTGTTGCTGCGCTGCTTTGCTTGGTCTGGTTTTTGTTATTTGCTCTGCTTAGCTTTTTTTTTGAGTGTTTTTTTGATTTGTTTTACTTTTTTATTATTGGGCACCCATCGAACAAAAATTTAAATAATACATAGAATTCGTGCTTATTGGCTAAATTTCACATTACACATGCTCACATTTTTTTATATTAAATATATAGATATCTTTTTTTTGGGGATTTTTAATTATTATGTTTCATTAATGAAATGCATTTTTTTGTTTCAAAAGGGAATTCGCGCTGACTAGAAATTTTTGGAAGAAAAAGAAGAAACAAGAAAAGAACGCATGAAATACCGAAATTTGTTGTTCTTTGCTTTTCCTGTTGTTGTTTTTCTGGTGTGCGTGACATGCGCAACGGTAAACCAAACAGAATCCTCTTCAGTCGTCTGCTTTGCTTTTTGCTTTTTTGTATGGGTGTGTGTGCGTGTGGGCTGTTTGTTATTGCAAAAACAAAGCGGGTGGCGGAGGCGACAACTGAAATCCAAAAAGCAACAGCCCCGACAACCAAAGAGGGAGCACGAGTGTGGGGGAGGGAGGGGGCTTATGGAGTATTAGCTTTGCTCTGCTTGGATTTCACTTAATTTGTGTCCACTGTTTGTTTGTGTGCGTGACTCTCATATACAGACACAAAATGCGCGCATATTTTTTTTTTTTACGTCTTTTTCACTTTTTTCACAACACACACACATTTAATTTATTTTGGAGTTTTGCTGTTGCGTCGTATTTTTTGCACATATATTATTTTTAGCATTTTTATATTTTTAAACATTTTTCTCATACTTTTCGTTGAACCTGCGCCAACATATTGCAAAAACTGTAAAGAGAAGAGTGTGTGGAAAGCAGTAGAAGATAATTTTCGTTTTTGTGAATACAATTAATATTAAATAGATATGTATATACATATATATATATATGCAAGCAGCTTTTCTTTTTCTTTACTAACAATTAATGAGGCGGGCGGCAAATAGGAAACTCTGCGAGCGTCAAAAACACACACCGCGCTTATTGCGCTCCACGAAGGTACTGAAAAAGGCAGACGACGACGAAGACGGCGACGACGACGACGATTCAAGTGCCCAAGCGAAGCCAAATGGAGTCCACACACACTGAAAACCCTCGGTGCATGCATGTATTGGTGTTAGAGTGAATGCGCATCTAAATATGCGCCTGTGTGTGTACGTGTGCAGGGTGAAGGATTGGTGATAATAAAAATAACAACAATTACAGCTGTGTGTGTCGCATATGTAAAAAGGGGACGCACAGTGGTACTATAACACTGTAATATATGTTGGAAAAAAAATTTTATATTCTTAAAATTTTAAAGCAGTTTGAAAATCTAAATAAATGAATTATATAATAATTAATTTTGTGGACTTGTAAAAGTGTTGATTGCTTTTGAACCACTGTGCGACAGGGTAGACATTTTTGCAGGATATATTTAAAAAAGTACATAAATATATACACACATACATACAAACAAGCGAAGCCAAAGCAAATTGCGTTGTTACACACACACACACACACACACACTCATACACAACCTATGTATATGCATGCATGTTTTATTTGTGGAGTTAAACAGGATCCACCAAGCAGACTCAACAGCTGGCCAGCACTTACATACACACACACACATACTCACATAGAAATACAACAGCAGCAGCAATCCCAACAGGTCAGCATCCACATACACAATGCAAAAGCAACATGGCATCCACAGACAGTGCCATATTTGTGGATGCTACAACAGCTGGCAAACCAAAAAAAAACTTCAAGCACAGCAGGGGGTGAGTTAGACTTGGATTCGAGGTGAAAAGGAAGCACTGTTTTTTTTATGCTTGTTTAGGCAAACAGCTGAAATTAATTTCATTTAAAAAAATACTTAGCGTGAGGCAACCCAAAAAGGGCACACAACAAGTGACAGAGAAGGCCAAAGGTTACGCACACACACACACATTTGTATGTATATGAGCACTTCCAGGATTCTGGCATACATACAGACATTAGCATAGATGCGTATGCGCGTGTGTGTGTGTATGTAAGTTGGCTAATTAATTGAAGTAACCAAGCGAAAAGAACACAAAACAAGCTGGACAAGTTTTCTTTTTCTGCCAACTCGCACTGTTTTTTCGCACGATTTGCTTTTGCGTTTGCTGCTGCTGCTTTTGCACAAAGTTTTTTTTCTCTTTCCAATAGTTATAGCTTTTGATATTTGTTTGTGCGTTTTGCGTTAATATTTGGTTGATTCTAACTCACTTTTTGCAGTTCCTGGACAACCGCTCGCACATTTGTTGTTCTCACTACAGATTATGGCGGCCCGCCGATAGGCGATATGTTGCCGATTATTTTTGTCGTGCGCCGCTTAGCAAAATACTCGGATAGCTGCCAGTACGACAGGTATCGATATGATTTAACATTATGCTAAAATTTGAACCGACTGTTTAAAAACAATTATTTTGTTTTATTATTGTCAACATGACGTTTTGAAAATAATGATTTTTTGATTATATTCAAGCTATTACACATCTACATCGCTTGCTTAATTTTTAATGAGTAATAGCAACTTTCTCAACAATTGCGCAACAGCTCCGGCTTCTGTTATAAACAGAGCTGATCAGCCGATTTCCAGGCAGAAAGAACTTTCATTTTCCAAAATCTAAACTGAAAACTCATCTATAGAAACAAATTTTTCGCTGCCATTTGGTGGGCGTTGATTCGTAGACACAATTTCTGCCCAGTTCCTGCTGCAGATACCGTTGTATTTGCTGCTCGACATCAGAGCGCCACTTGAGTTCCACAAACATTGGAAATACTTCGCCAGCTTTTTTCAGACGACGCTCAGCAGTTTGATAACATTTCCAGGGTTGTGGTTCCACGACAAACAGCTCCGACAGCTGGGAAAGTTTGCGCAGAAATAACTGTAAGCCGCTGTCGTGATGATTGAGATGAATCCACATTGTTATTGAGTAACAGCAAATTGCATCAAACTTGTTGCGCCGATGCTGTTGCAAGTACTGCAAAACAGTGACGTCAAAGGTGGACGCATTGAGGATGTCATCACAGAAATAGCTGATCTTTCCAGGACACTTGTTATTCAGTTCGGCTCGCTCAATTAATCGCTCATCGATATCCACACCGAGCACATGAACGGGTCGCTGCAGCTGTTCCTCGAGGAAGCTCTGCAACAGTTGAGTGAAATCGCCACAATTGCAACCCACATCCAGTACTAGATAAGGCTCTGACTTGCGTTCCACACTGGACTGCGTTTCCATTGTGCCGCTGGCCAGCCAAATATTTGTGGATGGCAGCAGTTTAATCCGCTCGCCGGCCGAATTGAATTGATAATAGTTCTTGAAGTTGCCATATTGCACGGCGCCTGGATTGTTCTCGCGATGCTCCATTTAATAAATAATAATATTTATTTACTTGTATTAGTTTCTTCTCCGCTGCGGACAAAAACCAATGGTTGAACTATCAGCTGATTTGCTCGATGGCCGATTAATTTGTGTGGTATTTTTGTAGCAGTTGAGCAACTGTTACACCACTGTGAAGTGTACAGAGCGCCAAAATGTTAACTTGAACTGAAATTTGAAAAAATATTAAAAGAAAAACACTTTTGATTTTTACCTTTCCATTTACGTTGTAGTTTACTGCTCTCATTTTGTATTTATATATAATTATATATATATAGAATTTAACACGTTTTGTTCTGCTTGCACAGTTCATACAATTTGTTTTTACTTACAACATACCAAATCGATAACATTTTCGGTAAACTTAATTTGAAATGCCCAAACCAAAAAACATAATGTACAAGTAATAATAAAAAAAAGAAATAAAAACAATGCACGTCTGTTTGTGGATAACATATTTAACAATAATAATTAACAACAAACATTGGACATGAGCACAACGGCGCACAGATTATTGGGAAACTGAATTTAACCCACTAAGGGAACTAGGCAAAATCGCAACAGTCTGTTGAAAATCCGTGCAAAAGGTTCTGCTCATGATCGTTAATCGTTAATCGAGAGTCGATAATAATAATAAATCGTTAGTATTTTTAACCTATAAATGTACAGTATATATATATATATATATATATATATATATATATATATGTTTATAATCCATGATACGAATTAAACTAATTAAACTTGGCTAAACACTAAATTAGCCATACTTTAAACTAAATTATGCATATTTATATATATATACTTGTATATATATATATATACGTATATATTTAGATATATATTACGATTTGTATGCAATTCGTTTGCTTCTTTAACTAGTTGTATATACATATATATACATATATATATAGGTACATATACATATATATACATGCTTACAAATGTTTTCGAAACTAAATATATGTATATATTTTGTTTAAGACTACTGGAAATGTGTGTTGTTTTTTTTATAGGTAGTGATTCTTATTTCTTGAGCTTTAATTTCTCATGCAGGATAACTAAATTTAGTTGGGGGTTAGGGGTTAGGGTGGTATTAATAGGGACTTCTCGATTCGGACTGAAGCGTGCAAAAATGGAAATTCTAACTAATTTCTTGTTCTTGTCTGCTGACTCATCTATCTTTGGCATTTATCGATAAATTTCTAAATACTAGAATGCTACTTAATATGGACTTGGTTTGTTTTTATTTGAAAAAAATTTAATTTTGAATATGTTTTGCTTTCACTAAGAGAATGATACTTGCGAAAGAAAAGAATAACTGAACGAAACGCAACAATTGTGAATTGAGTTGAGTTTAGAAATATTGAGTAACTGGCATGATATATATATAAAAATCGAACTAGGCATAGGTTTATATATATATATATATATATATATATATATATATGTATATATATATCGAGATATGTATACATATATATAGGGTATATATACATACATATATACGTGTGTTGGTAAGCTCATAAATACACAATATATATATTATAATAATAAATCGATCGTCCGAATCCCGAAATCCGAAACATAATTACAAACGTTTAAAAACTCGCTTAAGAACTATGCTTTCTCTTTTGCTTTAATGAATATGTCTTTCAATTTTAGTAGGTATTATTTTGTTTTGAGGGGTGGTTGGGGAGTGTTACGCAGCGTGTATTATCCAGGCGATCCATATAATATGCAACTAGGTGGCCTGGTGGCAAGTACGGTTCAGTTATGGGGGGCAAAACTATATATACATATATATATATGCAGTATGCATACATATATATATATATATTTGAATAGACTTTAACAGAGATGCGTTCGTTTATCGTTTTTGTTTTTCGTTTTTTTTTTGACACAACCAATTTATACTTGAAAATTTAACGGCTCTAGTCATCTGGGTCCAACCCGATTAGCTCCGCTTGCAATCTGCCCTTAGTCTTACAACAAATGGTTAAGCAAAATACTCTCAGCGCAATCCGAAATTGTGGCGACATCCCGGACATAATCAATATCTTCCAAAAGGAGTTCAGTACACCAATCCAGACGACGGCAAAATTGATGAGAGTACTTTGGATAACGTCGCCCGTGACCACCTCATAGAGACGCAATAATATCCATGGCAGCCAGGACATCCAGAATGCAAAGACTAATGCGAATGACATCATATGACTAGGGTTCGATAAATTTTCAGCCAATGCAGTTGCATATTCTTTATCATGTATGGGCTCGCCGGATCGTATTTTGCGCATCATTACAAATATATAGCCATAGTTGTGTACTATCGATATCAAGCTTGGCCCTAAAACTAATATTGCCAGCGTAACGGTATATGCCGCCATATTGCCCCAATCCAGCATACAAATGTGCGAAAGATTATTCTCAATCGGCTGCGTATAGCCCAAGATCGGTGGACAGCAAAGGAGCGCCGCCGATATCCATGTGAACACCATCCAACACTGGCAACTGCAAGCGCAAGAGAGAGAGAGAGAGAGTAACGTTATTATGCAACACTAGACTGCTAAGACACTAATCAACTGTTAAGCCCTGTTTTCAGATCGAAAAGCTGTTCACAAAAATCACAAAGTTTAACGACGACTTAACAGTGAGTTAACAGAGTGAACAAAAAAAGTATATGAAAAATCGTCAGCTTTCATTATCGATAACTTTTATCGTCATCGACTTGTCGCGCATCGATAACTTTGGCACTTACCGCGTCTTCGTCTGCACAGTTTCATAGCGCAGTGGTTTGCGCACAGCCAAATAGCGATCCACCGATATCCACATGAATGTGTAGACAGAGACGGCCCACAAGGTGACCTCCAGATAGCCGGTGAAGCGGCACACAATATCCCCGTACATCCATTCCCCAGTTAGGGCGGGATAGACGGAGAATGGAACTACGAGCAGACCGCATAGTAAATCAGCAATCGCCAGCGAGAGCAGATAGTAGTTGATGACCTCAGTGGGACCTACGAAAATCGGGGAGGTTTCAAGAGTTAACTTTCGACTTTTCTTAAATTTATATAAAATATTCAATTACTGAGAGAAATCTTTAAATATTCTTAACTAATTTTGGATTTACCTTTAAAGTTGGCATATGTGGCTATGATCAGTAGATTGGAGAGCACAATGGCTACACCTAAAATTGAGATGAGTACGGCTTTGGTGAGTGCCTCCAGTTTGGAATTATCCTGCAGGTAGCTCATTTCCTGCATTTTTTTGTGTGGCTCTCTGTGTGTGGCTTAAGCTTAAGGTTATGCAAAGTTGGCCCACACACGTAATCCGACTGCTGCTGGTGCTGCTGCTGAGGCTGCTTCTATTCCGCTTGCCTCACTTCCTGTCATGACGGCCTGCAGTTAGTTGCTTGCTGGCGCCCTCTATTGTGCAATAGCCAAAATGCAAATGCACACACGCGAAGGTCGCAGTCGCAATCACAGTCGCCGTCGTCGTCGCCTTGCAGTCAGCGTCGCTGCCGAATTTGTATAAATTTCTGTTTGCGTTGCCTACTTTTAGGCGCCAAATCCAATTCGCCTGTGTTTGTTGTTGTTGCTGTTGTGTTGGCTGCGACTGCGGTTAAGGTTAAGGTGAATTGTGAATTCTTTTTTCTTATATTTCTTTTTCTTTGCGTTTTCGTTTTGAAGCTCGTTTAAAAGTTGCTGACTAAAATTGTAGTACCGTTAAAAACTACTAATAGACAATAGTTTTAGTTTTAGTTTAAAGATTGGATTTTTTTCTTTCTTTTTTGTTTTGTTTTGGTATTAAATTCACAACGCTTTCTTGCTAAGTTTAATAAAATTTTGTTAATATCGTTAATTAGTTAATTAGTTATTAGTTACTTGCTCTTGTTTATTGCGCTACTAAAAGTTTTGAATATATCTTTAGACTATTATTAATATGCTTCTAAATTTGTTTTGACTAATTTATTGAATTGTTATTAAAAATTACACATTTCGAACTTTAAATTGGAAGAATAATGATTACAATTATTAAATAGCTTTAATTTTATTCTGTTGGTTGTATTGAAATTACTTTTTTAATATCTTATTTGTTTTTTTTTGTTGGTTTTTTAAACTATATTTGACTATAATTAGAGCACAGCACAAATTTTTATTTTGTTTTTAGTTAGTTGTTGTTGTTGTAATATTCGTAAGGCTTTTGATGTGCTACGTTTTAAGTTGAAATATATTTAATTTAATATTTGTTCTTCTAGTTTTATTAGCGTTTGCTTTTGATTTTTGTTTTTATTTGCTTTTTGTTATTTGCTTTTTGTTTTGTTTTTGTTTTTCGCTGCTTTGTGCTTCTTGTGATTATCCTTTTGCTTGTAAATTCTGGCTGTAGGTTCTTATTCTGGTTGTTGTTGCTGTTGTTGTTGTTGTCAGCTTAGGCTAATTGTGCGCATCTGTTGACAGAAGACAATAGACAGAGAAAGAGAATGTCTCGTTACATAAGGCACTTAAAAACGTAATCGCATAATCTAATCCCTTCATAAGTGAGGAACCTGCATAGGAATTATACAAAGAGATCTCAACATTAAATTCAATCTCAAGCAAATACCTAGCAAAACTTAAAAACGTTCTCCTCTTTAAGGGTATCTTTTACTTATTATAATATAATAATTAAAAGTTGAAAATAGCTCAGCTTAAATAGCAGTGTTCGCCCTTGGTTTGTTGTATGCATAATACACAGCCATAATTTATAGCGCTTTAAGGCTGACGTTATCCAGATCAATAAATTATTACGAAAGCCTTTTAGCTGCACAAAACGCTTTACATAAGCGTCCTTATCCTTCCAGCCCAGACCAGGGCAGCCAACTTGTCAGCCAGTCAGCCAGTCAGTGCCACTTTGCCACTTTGCCCACCTGCCACACCCCCTGGCTCCCCTGCAGCAGCTGCTGCTGCTGCAGTGACCCACTTTAGAATGTGCACTTGACACAGTTTGAGAGTCAGCGCTGTCAAATCAGCAAACGTCACCAAAGTGGCGATTGTGATTCTCAAACTGTCGATAAGGACATTAAATAAATAAAGTGTCGTAAATAAAATCACAAATAACTAAATTTAAAGATGAATAAATATGATTCAGCTTGTGATTAAGTCATTAAATGAACTCCTCTGCACTCTTCCATAGAAGTTTTCGTATCAATTTACTTTGATTCACTAAATATTATTGACAGCCATCAATCATAATTTGTATTGAAATCTCATTTAATCATTTACTAATATTTATACTGAAAAGTAGTCTCTTATCAGGTTTTCTGCTAAAACTGTCAAACTGTAATGTTTTTGATATGCACTTTCTGGACTTAACACGTATTTGACGGCCATAAATCATATTGCACAGCTTAAGCTCTACTGGAATTGATTAAGCAGAAGAAATCTCTCTCTATGACCGTAAAACAGTATTGTTTATAGAATAAACATTCACGAAAGGGAGTTTATATAAAATAGTAGAGTAGTGGAGACTAATATAAATTTAGATGAAAGCAATTCCTGTAGTAAGGGCTATTACTGTAAAACTGTACACATTTCAAATGTTCCCAGCACAAATAGTGTATTTAAAGGGTTATATGTAAAATTGAGATTATTAATAATAGAATAAATATATAGAAACTCATAGCGTATATTTATAAATTCCTAAGCAGACATTAAGCACGAATATTCTTCACAGGGCATCTTGTAGTCTGTCATTTCGCACTAGAGCCCTCTGCATTTGCCTAAGCCTTGTGACTGGTGCTTAGTGCTTTAGGCCATCGATCACAACAAGAGAGAAGCGCAACACCCACCGCCCACCGCCCACCGCCCACCAACTCCAACTGGTCTATATATATACAGTTGGGAAACAAATAATAGCAACACTTTGACAATTTTTCCTACGAATGAAAGTTAGTTTTGCAATTTCAAATTCGAATTTGAATTCTTCCATTATTGTTTAGTATTTTCGCTCTTAAGTAAAGTTTGTACTGCTCCTGGAATTCTTTTCATATATAAATATTTTAATTTATAATTTCTTTCGTTCATTTTCTTCCTTTTTAATTAAAATTTACTAAATTGAAGACGATGAATAAAATTATGGTTGTCTTTCTCTCTCTTTTAGATTGGATTTATAAATATTCATAAGACACCTTTGAATACACTTATTGTGAAAGTGGAGCTATTATTTTGATGGCAACTGTACATCTACTCTGTCTCTCCCTCCATCTCTCCATCTCTTGCTGCTTTACAGCATCATTTGGCGACGTCATTGGGCCATTTTCCACGCAGACACAAACTCAAACACAAATAGAAGACAAACACGCGAACTAAACAGCAGCCCATTATCAAATGCCATTAAAGGACAGCAGCTGGGCGCCACAATTGACTAGCTTCCCCTCTCCCTCTTCCCTCTCTCTCTCTCTGCCCCTCTCTGCAGGGTGCTGCATTGTGTGCGATAAGTGGGGGGAGGGGCGGGCGTGGGGCGAGGGGCGAGAGAGGGTGGAGTATAACCGTAACAAGTTTGTCATTTGGTTCTTCGTCTCTCAACTGGGTAATTTAATTAATGCTAACGGCGTTTGTTTGACAGCCGACAGGTGATAAATAACATTAAATTGCATTCGGCTAAGCTTGACTACCCCTAACGAAGACACACACACACACACACAGCTTAACACACACACACACACACGCAGTTAGTTTGTCAATCATTGCGTAAGCATTTTACTGCAGCTGCAGGGGGTACGCCTGGGGTAAGCAGACGGAGGGGGAGTGGGGGGTAAGGAGGTCAAATGTCATTTGTGCAAAATGATTTTGTGGCGCCGCCAAAGCGTCGCCGTCGACAATATTATCCGAGCTGCTTTTCCTGCCGACGCAATTACAATGGAATAACAGTTATTGCTGCCAGCCAACCAAGGCGTAAGCATAATGAGCAGCACAAAGTGCACAAGCATTGCGCAGGGGGTAAGTTGGGGTGGGGATGGGGGTGGGGTTAGTACTAAACACACGCAGAAAAACCCGAAATATGTTTTCGGTTTGTTTTGCGATCTTAATGGAATGCTCACAATCCATAATCAATCCATAATCAATCCATAATATCAATTTGAAGGCAACTCTTATTACTATCGAGAAACGATTTGTATCGATATTCGCGAGTTGGTAAAAGATATCGATAAAATTAATTAAACTCAATATGCGTAAGCGAGAAACGGAGAACTGTATGCCAAATTTGAAGTATCCAGCTATTATAGTCTCTGACATCGACTTGTTCAGTTAGACGCAGCTGCTGATGGTGATCATGAATATATATACCTTATGGGGTAGACAATGATTACTTGTTACATACTTTTGCAGATGTACATTATACTCTTTGTATAAATTGTCAATTCAGGTTGAGGTTATAGAATACTTCAACTAAGTTTCTTGTCTGCCAACTGCTAATCTTCTGTTTTATTTTAAAGAAAACACTCTTAAAATTTCTATGCTTGATTCTGTGTCTTTCACTCTGTGGAGGCAATCAGGTAATAAGTTCAGCGAACCAACATTAAACAAAAATCAATAAACACGTGAATGTTATATTCATGATTAATTATGGTAATCTTTTGTGGCCAGACTCTGCTTCTTCCACATTTTCCGCTTGTGCTGAGAGGAAATTGTGAATAATAAGCAAAAAGAGAAAAAGAAAAGAGTGACGCAAAAGTTGATGGCATTTTGATTGTTATGCGGCGACACCGGAAACAGCAGCAGAGGAAGGCAAGCGGCAGGATCAAAAGAACGGGACTCAATATATTTATTGTGGGCGGTTGCAGGAATTGGGGTAAATGTTGCCACAATTAAGGCTTCTGGCCAGCTGCTGTAACATAGGCTTATTTATGACAGGGCTTAAAAAGGGACACACGCATCGGGATTTATAGGTTGTCATGCATACAGTCCGGGTCAAATTCATAGGTTCGCATAAAATATACTTGAAATGGATATCAAGTGGTGCTGAGCTCCATTCTCGAACTCGATTGTAAAGCTGTCTTGATGAAATATATACGTCAACTTTGAATGTAAGTTATGGTTGTGGAAAGCTTGTGGCATAATCAGTTTAGCAGCAATCTGCCACAAGCTGGCCTCAACCGATGACTATCTTGTTACTGCAGTTACTGATTACTGTCCAAGCCCAATCTCTCCATCCATCGCTCAATTCCGACCCGTACTGCTCACTGGCAGAGTGTACATTTTATGCAGCTGAGTTGCCAGTGGCAGAGTCTTTGTTAGTTGCAACTAAAAGTAAACTTTTATGTTTCTATTAAAAAGCGACAAGTTTTGCATTAACTTTCCGCTACAAAAAGTGGGCTACATTAAATTATAAATGAGAAGTGAGCCTTCAACAAAGGCAAAACTTTTAGTTTTTATATGTGTTGTGTGTGTGTGTTTGTTGTGTGTGTTGTGTGTGTGTGTGGTGTATCCTGTCATTTGTGTGTAGAGTAAATATATCGCCATAAAATATGTATCGTATGCGTGTTTATGGCGCAAAACAAAATCGTGCAGAAAAGAAAGAGATACAAATGTATCTAAGTATAGACCAAGAGAAAGGGGGAGGGGCTGTTGCACATGACGTTACAGTGCCACAGTCAAGCGGTGATTTAGGAAGCGACGGCGTCATAAAATCTCATTTCTAAATGCCAGACCAGGTGATGCAGCTACCACACTGCGCCCCCCTCTCGCTCGGCAAGCTATAAATAAAGACAAAAAGCGAAAAATGACGAAGGCCAAGGCGAATGCATGCTGAAAAGCATGCAAGGTGCAAGGAGAAAGGCGGCAAGGCAGAAGGGGGGCAGAAGGATACTCGACGCTGGCTGATGACGTTGGCGCTGCCGCAAGGCAAAACTTGACAAGGCTGCTGCAAGGGGGGCGGAGTAGGGGTGCAGAGGGGGTGGGAGGGGGGGGGGTGGTTGTGGGTTGTTAGCTACGTCATCAGTCAGGCATCGGCATCGGCATCGGCATCGGGCTTATATAAGAGCATGACCTCAGTAACTCAGGCGCCGCAGCCGTTTACCTTGTTTTTGCTCGCTTGCTGCTTTCTTTGTTGTATTTATTTGTTTGTTGGCCACATCTATTTTTAATACTGTTTATTTTGGGGCAACAAAGCGCTGCAAACTTCGCGCTGAGTTTTTCTTTTTCTGTTTCTGTTTCTTTTTCTGTTTTTGGCATATGGCTTTAAGCAGCAACGTGGGTGACTTGAGCACTTTGTCAAAGCTGCATTTGGCCCTGGTTGGGCATGCAACTGTTGCATGCAACTCGCTCGGGGCACACAAAACTTTGTCTGCACTTAATTCAAAATGTTAGTCAACAACGCGCTAATTAAAACAAGAATAGCTGCAGGACACAGTTGCCATCCCATAACCCCCATTTAAGCTAGATTGTCCAGATTATAATTGCAATTTTG